AACGGTGGCTTCATATGCAGGGTTAGATGCAGTCAGGTGACAGATGATGATAAAGCTTCCAGATTTTGTTAATGGCAGAATAAAGGGCATTTAGAGGTATTATAAATCACAGTGTCTTTGTGTACCTGCAACTGCAGGGAAGAAGATATGTTATTTTAAGGTTTATTTAATCAGTTCCTCTTTATTTTTCCTTTATTTTTTCTTCATTTGCAGCTGATTTCTCAAAGAATTGAGAGGTTAATGCTGGCTCTTCTAATTATCTGTAGTTTCAGTGGTTGTAAATATGGATTCCTTTATCTTTCAAGTTTTCATTTGAGTATTCCTTTTTGCTGTGTTTTTTTTTTTTTTCTTTTCACCTGCTTTCAAGTCTACATGGGTTTTCTGTGTGTAGGTCATTTGTAGAAAGATCTTTGCATAAAAGTTCTCATACATCATAGATGTTATTCTGTATTTACATTATAACCCGGAGCTAGGGCTGCGAAGGAGCCTAGTTTAGCAATACCCTTATCGAGTTGAATTCAGTTTTTTTGACTGCTGCTCGAGTTCGACGAGTCAATCTTTTAAAGCTTGGCTCGACACGAAATTATTATACAAGTGCTCGAGATTGCCTCGAATTTAAAGAAACTTTTTCTTGATTTGGGGCTGATTTAGATGTGTTAAAGGAGACATGGAATACATATGGTGAGCTACAACAACAATGGATAAAGATCCCAATATTTAGGCAATTATATGTATCATCGAGCGGCTTGTTGAGTAACCAAGCTTACATAATGCAAGCTCGAGCTTAGCTCAAGTTAAAGTTCGAAGCGCTCGAGTTCGGTCAAACTTGGGCCAGAGCCGAGGTTTCAATTGGGCCACTCGACTCGTTTGTAGCCCTTCCCAATGCTAAACGATTTTACATTTTGTGATAAAGGGATCAAAGTGCAAGAACGGTTTGAATTATTTTTTAAAACTGTATGGTGAAATCCTTTTTCTTCTGATTTTTCTTATTCTTCTTTGTTTTCAAGAATTTTTATTTTCTTCTTACTCACCTTCGCTATTTCTATGTGATGTTTTTGTCCCTTGAAGTTTGTTTAGAAGATGACTAAAAGAAGCATAAGGACCTTCATGTGATGATTGGTCTCCTCATATCCTCATATGAGTGCCTTTCTTCATTTTCCTTTAATATTTTTGCTCACCAAAAACCTGATATTGCCTTTTGGTAATTGTTGTATATGTACCCGGCCAAGGACCACCCGGCCCGGTCAAACCTGTTGACCACGGGTCCGGGACCGGTCCGGATTTTCTGACCGGCCGTTTCAGGGTCATCCATTTCATGACCCAGCCCGGGCCCGCTGATGGCCCACTTTTTCTATTTTCTTTTTCCTATTGTTTTTTTAAAAAACGACGGACCTGGCACGGATACGACCCAGCCCAGACATGGACCTGACCTGGTCAACTGGGCCATTGACTCGGCACGAGTATAGGTTCGTGCCAGGTCTGGGTCATTGTTTTCGAGCCCGACGATCCGGTCCGGGCCGTGATTCAGCTTAGGTTTTGGCCATGTCTATATATGTAGAGAAGATACAATTAATTAAATAATGTATTTGGTATATATATAGAAAATATAAATAAAGGATAAAGAAGTGGAAAGAAGTGGGGTTTCTGTTCAATTATGGTGGCATCAAAACTAATGGCTTGATTTTAGGGGAAGGATGCAAAAGAAACTTTCAAACATTATGTTCCTTTAACTTCTCCGTATATAGTGAAGTACACTATATTCAGTTTCTGTGACCTTATTTCCATTTTGTACTTTCAAAATCTTAATGGCCAAACGCAGTTGCTCATCTATCAATAAATAAATGTACTACCCGCTCTTGAGGGAGAGCTTTGCCGCCCTTGTGGTCCTACCCGGCTTGATTTCGGATTCGTCGGTTCCATTGTGGATCCGGAAACCGGAAAGTCCCTGTACCAAAAAAAAACAAAAAAGTACTATTTATATATTATACTTTTCTCCCTTTTATTCACTCACATTATATAATTTAAATGTAAATATTAAAAAAATCACTTTCTGTAATTATCTATATATACTTTACTCTTGATTTACTCAGATATTTATAACTATAAGATATTATTTTATTTTTTCCTATCCTGTTATAATAATTTATTATACTTTATATTACATCATTTTGCATGAAAAAATATAAGTACGGTAACTTTCTAAAATATCCAATCGTACCCTAACTATATTTACAAATTTGTAAAATCATAATACTAATTGACAAAATTTAAAAAGAATATTAAATTTGTAAATTATTATACTAATTAGTAGAATTTATAAATAAATAGATTTATGAGTCTTTTTGCAAATCAGTCTTTTAGCTCCAATTTCATTTATGCATGTTTTTATTTCCATGTTTTGGTTTGAGCTTATATCCTTAACTTTCAGTATAAATATAGAATCTTTGAGATAGGAAGATTAGTCAACAAGAAGTTTGGTAAAAGGACGTTCATTGTCCATTTTTAACAATTTATTCATATTTAACATACACGATTCTTTATTCCGTTTTTATCCAATGTTATTAAAAGTCTTTTTATTTTAATTTTTTTTTTGGTGCAAAGAAGGAGGCTACTCCCTAAAGAAGAACCTTCCGAGGATATGACACCCCAGCCCTATCATGGAGCAACCACATGTCTACCCCCGGCGGGGGACTCGCCAACGCATAAAATCTACTCGGACCTTTAGCCGCCAAAGAAGCCAAAAAATCCGCCACACAATTCGATTCCCGATAACCGTGACCAATCTCCACCTCCCATTGATGACCCAATAGCTCCGCAATACTGTTCAAAAGGCCACGATAAACCCCAGAGTGAATGCCCTACCAGACCATCTCCACTATACTCTTGTTATCAACTTCAACCTGCACTTTACGCGCCCCAATATCCTAAGCCAACCGTAGCCCTTGAAACATACCCCAGAGTTCGACTCCAATAATATAGCAAAATTCAATGTTCATTAAGAAGCCATGCACCCACTTGCCGTGATGATCACGGATAACTCCACCGGCACTCGCCATTCCAGACGAGGGATCGAAACTTCCATCTGTATTGACCTTTATAGATAATAAAAATACAAGTTCACCCACAAATTTTCGTATTTGAATTCTCCCTAAAAATCTATATCTTCAATATCGACTGGCGAGCGAATGATCGACGATCGAAGATGGCGGAGACACGGTTCGGCTGAAGGCTTTTTGGTCCAAGGCTCGGCTCGTGGGCGGATGGGCTGGCGAAAAGCTGGCTACAGCCAGGGGCGGCGGGCGAATAGCAGCAACTGGATCTGTTGCGCACCCTCAGTCGATCCATTGGCTTCTCGACCACCACGCGTTTCATCCTCGACCCTTTCTTGTCATCAGATGTTGGTGTTTCTAGTGTTCCGACAAAAGACACGGTGGTTAATTTGAGGGATCATGATTTGATCGGGGGTTTGAGTTTGAAGTGGCTCGAAGGCATTTTGGGGTTGTGTGCTGTCAGTCCCTTATGATATGACCGAATATTTTCATCATTTTAAAATTTAGTTCATATTGAAATATTGTTTTCTACCATTAATCTTGTCCAATAATCCCAAGTTGTGTGTGTGTTTGTGTTGCGGTGTTATAAAAGATAATGGTGGATTCATTGTATGGCGATTTATGTGTGTTGTAGCATGTAAATTGTTCCATTGCCTATGTTTTCGTGAGGGTAATTACTGTTTTCTGGATAATTTAGCGGTATGCTGGAGTCTTTGTATGCTCTTGGTTTATAATTTAGTGGTGCTTGGACAATGTAATGGGAATATGATTCCAATCCATTGAAGTACTAAATTAAATA